AATCGATGGTAGGGAAAGCTGGGAACAGCATTTATAGAAACTGTCTGGATTTGTTTCATGACTTTTCTGTAAATCTCAAACTGTTCTTAAAAAATAAAGTCTAATAGGAAAAATGGCTATTGTGTTGTATTGAACTCCATAATTATGTAATTAAATTATTCCTAAACACCAAAAAATGGGGGGCTACGCACATATACCTTACTATATTTAAAATAGATAACCAACAAGGACCTGCCAAATGGCATGTGGAACTATACTCAACATTCTGTAATAAACTAAATAGGAGAAGAATTTGAAAAAAAAAAAGATACATGTTTATATATAAGTGGATAACTTTGCTGTCTACCTGAAACTAACACAACATTGTAAATCAACTGTAGTCCAAGGTAACATAAAAATATATTTAAAAAGTACTACTGTCTATAAAAAAGGAGGCAAGACACAGAGAGTCTGAAGGCCTGCAGTGAAACTGACATCCAGCTTAACCTACAGTGAAGTTCATAGTCAGTGAGCTCCACTTATAACCACACAGTCAATCCAATTACATGTTCAGCGTTTCACCCAAAATATGAGCAAAGCACCGAGCATCTCAGGAGCAGGGAGAGAACTTCTAACACAGTTTACTCAGCCTTAGCACTCTTATTTGGGGCCACTTCTGTGCATTGTAAGTTCCTTAGACGCATCCTTGAAAGTGAAAGTGAAATTCTCTCAGTCACGTCTGACTCTGCCAGTCTGTACAGTCCATGGAATTCTCCAGGCAAGAATACTGGAGTGGGTAGCCTCTCCCTTCTCCAGGAGATCTTTCCAACCCGAGGATTGAGCCCAGGTCTCCCACATTGCAGGCAGATTCTTTACCATCTGAGCCTTAAGGAAAGCCCAAGAATACTGGAGTGGGTAGCCACTTCTCTAGCAGATCTTCCCAACCCAGGAATAGAACCAGGATCTCCTGCATTGCAGGTGGATTCTTTACCAACTGAGCTATCAGGGAAGCATCCTTGGTCTCTAGCTATCACATACTAGTAGCACAAATCTCCAGTTGTGGCAACAAAAGGGTCCCCTGGGGCAAAATCTTTCCCTATCAAGAGCTACTGCTCAAACATAAGAGAGAGACAGAAAGAAAGAGAGAGAGAATTATCAAGTAAATAGGAAAAAAAGGAAACAGGAAGAAAACAGAATGCAGAAAATAGTAGAAATGAGCAAAAAAAAAAAAAATCTCAAGACTGATGAGAAGATACTGTATTCTTGAAATAAGAACAGGTGGCAAGAAGAAAGAAAAATTCCAGGAATGAAAAAAAATCAAATGCATGTTAACAGAAAGAAAACATTGACTAGAAGGGTTAAAGGGAAAGTTGAATAAATTTCCCAGAGTATGGAACAAAAAAGGCAAAAAGATAGAAAATTGTAGAGAGAAAAGAAAAAAATAATAATTAAAAGATCATTTCAGGTGATCCAATAATGGCTCTTGTAAAAGAGAAAGCCTAAAAGATACAGAGTAAGGATGTTTCAAGTAATTTGTTCAAGAAAAATGCCCATAATAGAAGAATATGAGTTTCTAGATTGAACGGACCCATGAGGAATCCAGTACCTGAATTTTCTAAACAGTTGGGACAAAGCAGTCCTACAAGGACCCAGGGAAGAAATACAGGTTGCATCAAAGATTCAGAAATGAGAATGACCCATAGCTTCCAGAGGCTGTAAGAGCAGTGGGCTGCTGCCTTCACTCTCTAGAAGACATTCCAACAAACCAAACTATCAGTCAAGTGTGAAGATGCAATGAGATCTGCATGGTCTTGCTCAATGTACCTTTCATGCTTCCTTTGTCAGGGATGCTACTGGAAAATATCCTATGTCAAAACCAGACACCTTTCTCCCCATCCATGTGTTCATGAGCAAATGTGGCTCTGATGGACCCACTAGGGCACTCTCTCACCCAGTCAGGAAGCTAGTCTTAGGGACTTGGCCATGGAGCCACTCCGCAGCTGGGGCCAGGGCTGGCATTGGGGTGGCAGTTGCGCCCCAGCCCCCGCTGCAGCATAGGACATGGGCTCTGCAGAGGAGGGGCTGACCTTGGCCACCCTGGAGAAACAACTACAAATCTTGCTTTTAGAAGGAAATGACCCCACAGGCAAATCCGAAGTCTGTTGGGGGAACAATAATTTCGTTAATAATTACAACTAGTCCAAGATGCCCCACAATCCTTCCTGCCCAGCCCTCCAGGTCTTCTCACTCAGTTACTGGGTGAGGATGGAAAATAACGCAAAAAAGCCAAGGATGGCAGCACAAAGTATCTCAATCATTTCAGCCTTTTCTGGGTTTCCTATTTCCAACTTAAACCAAAGGCACTTGGGTTACATGCACACACACACACACACACACACACACACACACACACACACATATGATTAATCTAGGATGTAGTTTCCTTTTAGAGACCTAAAAACCTCCTGAATCAACTCCAACAACACTTCACCAGACTCTCTTTGAAAGGAGCAGATGAATGAGTTGGACAGAAAACTTTTTGCTTGGAAATTTCCCTTTCTCAGATTGCAGATTTAAGGGGAGCGCCTGCCAAATGTTCAGCAAAGCTCTGCATGGTGGCTTCTGGCAGGGACTCTCTGTACCCGCAGTTAAATGAAGGTTTCCCTGCATCACCGACTTCTCATTCTTCATCACCTGCTCTGTCCCTGCCCCCCCACCCCCTTCCCACACCAAGGTCTTCTAAACAACTTGGGAAGAGAGAAAAACAAAACCAAAACTAACTGTGCGGGACCCCATGAGGCCTTCCCTGGACAGACCTTCTCCCTTGTCTTCTGCTTTAGTTTGTCTCTGAAGCACCTAGATGATAATACTTGATGCACATTTCCTGAGTTGTTTTTGCAGATGGAATCTCTGCTGCCCCCCCCACCCCCAAATGGAAGATGTTAACTACTTGATGATGGTGGGCACATAGCCCCAGGCCTCCTGGAGCCTAAGCACCCACAATGTTCATCCCTGTGACACCACCCTGCTATCTTACCACCAACCAATCAGAGAATTGTGTAGGAGCTGACAGACCCTGAAATTCCCCCTCCTTCACCTGGCTTTTATTTTCAACTTTTTATTTTGTATTGGAGTATAGCTAATTAACAATGTTGTGATAGTTTCAGGTGCTCATCAAAAGGACTAGGCCATACATATATATGTATCCATTTGCCTCTGAACTCCCCTCCCATCCAGGCTGCCACGTAGCAGCGAGCAGCGTTCCCTGTGCATACAGTAGGTCCTTGTTGGTTATCCATTTAAAATATAATGGTGTGTACATGTCAATTCCAAGTCCCTATCTCTTTCCCCCACACTTTATTGTGTAGGAGCTGATTACAGACCCTAAAATTCCCCCTCCTTCACCTGGGTTTTATTTTCAACTTTTTATTTTGTATTGGAGTATAGCCAATTAACAATGTTGTGATAGTTTCAGGTGCTCATCAAAAGGACTAGGCCATACATATATATGTATCCATTTGCCTCCGAACTCCCCTCCCATCCAGGCTGCCACGTAGCAGCGAGCAGCGTTCCCTGTGCGTACAGTAGGTCCTTGTTGGTTATCCATTTAAAATATAATGGTGTGTACATGTCAATTCCAAGTCCCTATCTCTTTCCCCCACACTTCCTCCCTGGAAACTCTAAGTTCATTCTCTAAGTGTCTCACCTGGCTTTTAAAGGTGCTTTGCCAAAACCCTTCAGGGAGCTCAAAGCTTTTTAGGTGAGAGCTACTTCTCGCACGGTCCTGCATTACACCTCACTCTGCTCCAGATTCCCATGTTTCAGTCTGTTTGGCCTCACTGCGTGTCGGGCACACGAATTTGCATAAACAGGAGTCCATTGGTGGATGTAAAAACTCAGATCTGCTGATTGTCGGTGCTGGAGTGGAATCCCTCCCGGATCCATCTGTGTTTAGCCTTGGTAAATATTACTGAACAGTACTCCAAGGTGGTGGTACCAGTTATACTCTGCCTTGACTGACACCATGACTTCGTATTTCTTCAGACCCAATTTTGACAGGTGTGTAGTGTACCTCTTTGAGGGTCTGACTGGTCCTTCTCTGATGAGAATTGATGTTGAACACATGTCAAGGGCCGAAGGGATATGTCAGGTATACGGTGTTTGTGTGAATTGCCTGTATATTTGAAGTACCTATTTAAGCATTTTAACTATTCTTACCAAATGAGTTGTCTCTTTTCCTAAGTGATTTGTAGTTCTTTTTACATTTTGGATGTGAGTTTTTTAACAATTATAGGTAATATTAACACAATTATCTTCCCCCACTCTGACGCTTTCCTTTTCACTCTCTTAATGGTATAATCTGATGAACAGATGATTTTAATCCTCATAAAGGAAATGTACCCGTATTTTATTTTATGATAGTGCTTGTTGGGTCCCATGTGGTACATTTTCGCCTTCTTCAGGTCTATTACGGGCTCCCCTGGTGGGTCAGCAGGTACAGAATCTGACTGCAATGCGAGAGACCTGGGTTTGATCCCTGGGTTGGGAAGATCCCCGGGAGAAGGGAAAGGCTACCCACTCCAGTACTCTGGCCTGGAGAATTCCATGGAAAATTCTGTGTATAGTCCATGCGGTCGCAAAGAGTCCAACATGACCGTGTGGCTTTCACTTTTAGGTCTAAGACAGCATTTTAAAGAAAAGAATAGAGTGGGGATTATGTTAAAAGAGTGTGGGTACACTTAGGATCAAGCTGGCTGAATTATGACAATAAACAGGGGTGTCTCCCAGACCCCTTATCAGAGCCCAACCCACCCCTTCAAATTCTTCTTCCTTCATGACCTGCTGCCAACCAGCTCTGCCCACTGCCCTCCTCCCCCGCCCCTCCCCCCTCCCTTTCAGGAAGAGCTGAGTTTTCATCTCTTGATAGCATCTTGAAAAGACTAGAGACTGAGTCTCCCTCTTCCACAATAACCATCAGATAGATCCAATTCAGGCAGACAACACAGAAATTACACTACATGGACAGAGTCATTCACCAGTTATATTTGAAATCTAAGCTCTTTGAGCTATACACGTGCACAAATGATTCAGTTGGTGGGAATCTTCCCCTCCCCCTCCACAGTTAAACTTTTCAAACAAAATAGTGCTGAATAGGCTTGCATCCTGTGGGTCAGGGGGATACTGAGGCAATTCTGACTTTCACGATGCTTGGAGGGGAATCTTGTCTGTTTCCTCCCCATCTCCTGGGATATGTACCTCTCTCCACCTCCCCAAACCCAATCTCATGAGAGAATTACTTGATCTGAGATAGATTAACATCGACATTTTGCAATAAGTGTGGCCAAGACTAACCACCTGGGTCATACACTCCACTGAGTTTTTATTTTTTGATGACACACAATTGTCATTTCAATTTTGACTAAATTTGGTTGGAAATGTCTGATGGAACTGTTTTGAAACACTGAAAAGTCATTTCCAAATAGTTTCTCTCATCCAGATTTCTCTAGAATCTGCCTTTTTCTGAAAATTCTGAGTTGTTTAAAAAGTCAAAGAATCCACAAATGATTGAGTCAGCACAAAAATGGCTGAAGCCTGTAGTTCTCAGCTTGGTTCACTAGAGGGCAGCATTCTCCACTATTAGGTCTAATCTTGTCTGTCCATGAAAACCCAAAAACCTCCACAGCAAAGGAAAGTCAAAGCGTTTGCTTATTATATACTCCTCAGATTTTATTTGTCAAAGGAGCCTTCGTTTTTCTTATGGAAACTCAGGATTTTACGAGCAGCGCTGTCCTCAGTTTCATCTGTACTGTGTCCAGTACTATATTGCTATATTCACAGTAAAACGGACTTTTATTTCTGAGTATTCAGTCTCATGTTTTCAGTTTCTGATGAAACTAGCATACACCTTAATCAAAAACCACAACAATCCTTCCATCAGGTGGCTGTGTTACTGTTCTCGTGTATTTTTCTGAGGCTTGGGTAGTGACAGTATTTCCCCACTCCGTTGTAATTGACATTTGCATCTAAAGAAAGTCACTGAACGTACAGGAGTAGATGAGGCCTGGCACATTGAGCAGAAGGTAATGGTTCTATAGGTGTATCTTCTGTAATGCACTTTGGGCTAGAGAAATAGAAAAATCACATGTAACAAAAACAAATACGTTTTTGAGCAATATGAGCATTGCACGAGTTGGACTTGCACACACATTTATGGATCCATCTTTCCCTTTGAACATGCTCAGCAGCTGCTATGTTGATTTAGCTGCATTCCAACTGCCTGCAGCTGACACTTGCTTCTTCACTTTATTTAAAAACAACTGGTCTTGATAGCAAAGATGTTGGCTAACTGTTTATATATTGGCAAGAGAAGTTTTGTGCCCTTTCAAAATTCAGCATTATACATAATAGAGTGTAATATTATCAGATTACCTGTATTAATATATGAATGCATTCATAAGCAATGCACATATGTTTTAAAGCAGCTAATGGCTGAAGAATCACTAAATAAAAAACATCCAGATTTTTAAAAGCACAGCTGAAACATTTGTACAAATATACAAAGAGAAGGAAAAAAAACAAACAAACAATCGTTCAGACACCATGAGACTTTTGTAATAAATAGGTTTGTCTGAAATCGGTCTCTATCACCCTGGACAAGCCTCCCCAAGGAGGTTGGGAAAGATTGACAAGGGAATCATGTTTAAAATCTACTGAGGGTTATCTTTGGGGCCAAGCTCAGTTTTTCCTCCAGAAATTTTCACAGAGCTATGAAGTCTTTGACTCCAAAGAGTGACAATTACCCAGACTTGTTAAGCTGGAGGATGCTGATAATTTTGCTAACCTAGATAGGACATGACTGGATGCTGACAATCGGTGACTTATAGTATATCTTCAAATCACAAAAATAAATGCTGGTGATCATGCATGTCCTGGGAATGTTGGGATGCAGAGGACTGGGGAGACCAGATAGGGAAATCTCATGCAATCAAAGTCAAGTTTACTTATGGTCCTACTTAAGTGGCCAGGAAGAAAAAACAACGCACACACATCAGAACTGGGACTGGAACGGTTCACAAACAACACAGGAGCTATTTGTCACTGATGTCTCCGGCTTGGATCCACATGAGAGCATGAAGGTATATAGGCTGTGCTGACCATTTAATAAGAAAATACTACTTTTTTTTTTTTTTCCTAGGACCTCCTAAATAATGGATTATACTCGGTGGGTATGATATGATCAGGAAACTTATCACCTTTTCCTAGCCCTTTTGTCCGAGAGGCTTGATTACAACGAAGGAATTTCAAACAACCAAACACCCAGGGATTTAAAGGCAATTATTTTTTTTTTCCGACAAACAAACAACAGGGAGAAAAAAAAAAAAAGCATGGTAAAGAGTAGACGGATATTCTCTTGGAGGCGGAGTGGTGAGCTCAGTTGGACACGGAGGGCGGCGGGCCGGGGCGTCGGGTCTGGATGATTTTTGGCTTCGGGGATGTCTTTGGATCCTCCTCCTCCTCGATGTCGCTGTCGCACACGTGCACGACGACGCTGGGGGTGGACTCCGTCCCTGCATGCAGCTCATACTTTTCCCCTGAAAAGCAAGTGGACGGGAGTGAGAAGGCGGCGGGAAACTCTGAATGATTATTTGGTGAAGTCTGTTTAGGAAGCGAGGGGGCATTTTAACATGTCCCAAGAGATGCTGGGAGATGGTGTCGGAAAGCGGAATGGGATGGATCTGTCTCCATCTCATGTGTACCTGCTATCGCCTGGACGGCCCCGGGCAGGCCCCCTCACCTCTCTAGGCTTCAGCCTCCACCGCTGTAAACTTCAAAATGGTAGTAACAACAGTCTGAAGGGTTGGGGTGATGACTCAGTGGGCCCAGCTGTAAGTTACCCGTTTCTCTTCCATTTCCCAGCATGGCTGCTAACAGCTAACCTTGAACCCATCACTTGACTCCAGCATCTTTTGGAGAAGGTCCTCCAAGTTCTCCTCCTTCTGGACAATTTCCTAAGGTAAGAGCTGCCCCAGGATGAGTAAGGTAGGATCCCCACTCATCTTGGATCTGCCATGGTTACCGGGTAATGGGGTTATTAGATGATAGTCAAGGCCCCTCCCGTTCCAAGAGTCTATTGGTCTATTTTTGACTGGCTCCTCTTGTAATCACTTCACTAGTAGCTGACTGACTTCCTGTCTGTATCTGTTTCCTTTCAGGAAGTATCTGGTGAGCATCTCCCATGGTCTGACCCATTGCTCATTATAAGACAGTCAAAACCATTGGCGTCCTTCACACGAGCACAGTGCAGTGATGGCACGTGGAAATAAAGTGTCACAAAATGCAATGGTTAAGTGCTAGGGTGGCAATATAAGTCAAGGGTACCAAATTGCAAGGAGCCAGTAACTCTGAAAGGCTTCCCCATGGAGGCGACAGCTGACCTGGGTCTAAAGACAAGTAGAAGGCATCCAGGAGGGGACAGGCACAGAGGACCTTATCAATCTGCACCCTCTTAACTTCTCAGCTTAACTGCTGACACACTTTTCTGAATCTTCTTCTGACATCCTATCCTTCGTTTCCCATCCTCCTTCATGAATGGGAAATATCGAGAAGCAATCTCTCCCAGAGACCCACCTGGTCAGCGGCTCTCCAGATATCACTGGATCGAGTCATCATTTCTTAGACTGTAGGACAAAAGACTCTGCATCATCTCCCATCAGTTATGACAGCCACGTTTTTATACCCATCCAACCAGCTACTTTTATTTGCTATGCATGCATGCTAAGTCGCTTCATTCATGTCCAACTCTTTGCTACCCCATGGACCGTAGCCCTCCAGGCTCATCTTTCCATGGGATTCTCCAAGCAAGAATACTGGAGTGGATTGCCATTCCCTTCTCCAGGGGATCATCCCAACCCAGGGATCGAACCCGCACCTCTTGCATCTCTTGCATTGGCAGACAGGTTCTTTACCACTAACACCACCTGGGAAACCCTTTATTTGCTATAGTCTCACCTGGTTTCCAAAATCCCACCCTCCCTCTAGGATCAAAGCCAGACACTGCCCAATCCAGGTATCTGGCCTGTCAGCCTCGATCTGCAGTGGACAGTGCCCTTGTGGATGGCCAGAACCAGGCTAGCATTTCTATGCTTCTGTGCACACCTTGGTGAGCATCAATGGTGCAAACAGCAAATGCTTACAAGGCATAGTTTTTAAGTTTTGTGCTGACATTAGGGAATGAGCAGCACTGATAATGCCACAAACATTAAGGTGATGCTGGGAACGATGTAAGTGTTCAGAGTCAGCTGCTGGATGGGTTGAACTGCATCCCACCCCTCCCAAGATGCTGCAGTCCTAGTCCCCACTGTGTATGACTGCGACCTTCTTGGGAAATACCATCTTTGCTGATGATTAAGTTAAAATGAGGCGATGAGGGTGGGCCCTATTTCAAAATGACCGGTGTCATTTTCCATATAAAACGGGGAAATTAGGATGCCTGCCTCATCCAAGGAGAACTCCACGTGAAGACCAGATTGTGTTGCCATCATCTGCGGATTGACCAGAAGCTACAGGAGAAGCCTGGACCAGATCCTTCTCCATCACCTTCAGAGGGAGCGTGGCCCTGTCGACACCTTGATCTCGGACTCCTAACCTCCAGGACCTGAGGCAACACACTGCTCTTGTGTAAGCCACTCAGTTTGTGGTCCAGTTATGGCAACCCTAGCAAATGAATACAGCCAGACCCTGCTAAGAGTGTTCCCTCTCTGGTAAGAGTCAGAGAAGTCGTAATTGGACTCCCCTGCCCACCAACATCCTAGATGAAGGTACTGGGTATTTCACAAAAATGACGTGTGACACTTCCAGCACTTCCCTGGAACATGGCAAGCAGCAGACGGGGCAAGAACTAATCCGAACCACAGAAATACAGCTCATAAAGACTCCATAGGTTAGAGTCAAGATTGGGTGAAACTGTAGGTAGAAAGAGTTGCATCAATGAGGTTGACATCTCTGATACGGTGAGATGACGGGGCCAGTTTAGATTCAGGAGAGCAGAGTGACAAAACCAGGGGACAGGAACAGAACTAGAAGGAGATATCTGTGTGGGTTACTCCTGTAACCACAAAGCCAGTGGGCTTTGCTTCCCCACTGGGGAAGAGGGATGGACAGTCTACTAACTTCCCTGTAATCGACTGTAAAGTTGCTATTCCACACATACACGTAGTTGTGCTCCACACACTGATGCAACTCACAGATCATTTCATTGTGTTTGCTCCATTCTCTTTTAACAGCTTGCCATTTTATCAAAACCCCACGGGAAAAGAACCACTGCAGATGTTGCTAAGGAGAGGAAGCTCAGTGCAGCTGGCTCCACCTGAGAGTTTCAGGAGAGGCTCTGGGTGACAGGTGGGCAGACCTGGGTGGTGGCTTCTTTGAACAGTGGTTTTCAAATACCTGACAGTTTACTGGGTTGTTTGCTGGAAATAGAGTCTACCAGCATGAGGATACAAACCTGCAGCTGGGATGCAGCGGCATCTACTTTGGTACCCAGCACCCTCAGGTGCTTCTCCATGTTTCAGCAGGTCAGTAGCCAGTCCTATACGGTTTGGTGTGACAGGCAGGGGGCTGCGGCCCTGGGAGGATGCTGGTGTGCAAGTAGCTTCCCCCTCCCTTCCTCCACTCTGCATCCTAATTTTTTTGTTGGAAAATGATAACAGTGAGGGGAGAAGGTAACAGAGCGAAGGATGCTGAGGATGTAGAAGGGAGAAGGCATCCCAGATCAGCTCTGCAGCCCCTCCCTGCCACCAGCACCCATTTATCTTTGGCGTCTCATCTTTGATTCTGGGAGAACAGCAAAATTCTGTGGACAGGGATGAAGGTCACCATTCCCAGGATTTCTACAATTTTATCTCACCCCCAACCAGGACACTTTGCAAATCTGAATGAGAGACACCTTTAGACAAGAGGCAGAGAAAGAAATAATTTCTGAGTAATCAGATGAGGTGGTTCTTGTTTTTCTGCACAGGATCTCTTCAATGCTCTCACGTTTAGAGAAGCAGTGCCTTTTATAGAGACACTAGTGGCTCCTGTGGTCTCATCGGCAATGGATGGATGGATACAAGGGTGGATACAAGGATGAAGTGGGTGACAGTCTCTCATCCTCTGATGAATAGATGACAAAAAATGATCTGCCACGGCAGATGAAGACCGGGGAACCGGGGGTGAGGTGGTGACAGCCGGGACCCCGGCCAGGGGACTGACCAGATGCTCCCCCTTGCCTCGTCTGNGTTATATTCAGTTAAAAAAAAAAAAAAAGTAGTAAAATATACATAATGAAGGTGTTGATGAAACTCTTTCTTTGCCCTGACTTGGATAAAGAACATTCTCTTAGAGACACCTCTAGTTGCAATGCATTTATCCATTCCCAAGGAGATGCTTGCCTCTTGGACCCAGTGTGCTAGGGCCACACTTGGGACGGGGATCAGGCACAAGCAGACACCCCGTGCAGGGTAACTTTCACGTCGAGTTAACAAAGTCAGATTGCTTGGTCGTAGAGCTGTTTCCCTGCTATGACCCCATTAACGCTGACATTTCTCTGTTCTATTTCTGGAAACTTTCTTACTATCAAAATCCAGCAAAGCCCAACAGCTGCTGAGAGTCCACAGAATAAAAAGACATAGCTTTGGTTTTGCTGGATTGAATTGTTCTGTTTTGGGCCTTTTTCTCCCTTTGGGCTTCAGCTAATTCTTCTACCACAAAAGCTGATGTCAGTGCTGTCACTCTACTTGGGGACCCCCTGGGTTCAGGAGGTGACAAGGGACCCATGGGGCGGCCAAGCAGACCAGTGTGTCTTTTCAAGGACAAGCCAAGGCTCGCCCTTCACATCCTTATCTCTTCCCGTCTGTATTCAAACTGTCCTTTCCCTTTGGGAGGAAAGGAAGCCAGGGCCAGAAGCTCACAGAAAAGGCACGGATCAGAGTTTTCTACCTTCCGCCTCTGAGAAATTCACACTCTGTGAATTTCCAGCAAGCACATGCAAAATCCTCTGGCACATGGTCACACGTTAAATTCTCATGCAGGTCTTCAGAACTGTTGAGGGCTTGGGCATCGCTGAAAACAAAATCGAGGGCTTGGGCATCGCTGAAAACAAACATAGCTAAGTTTTAACTTTTCGGCTAAGCTGAAAACTACTGGAATAGGGCAGGTATTTGTCCTATTTTCTCTGTGCTCTTGATGCCAGGACACAGGAGGCGTCACAGACACATGCCATCTGCCCAAAACACAGCAGCAGCTCCTCACTGAGCCCTTCGTGAACGCCAGACCACAGCTCCAAGGGCTTCACACAAATTGGGGATTTAATTACAACAGCTCTGTAACGGGGGTTTCATCAAGTCTTGATGATATGGGAGGGAGGACACTGAGATCACGCAGGTCATGAATGGCAAAGTCAGGTTCAAGGTCAGGTCTGCCTGACTTCAAGGAAGGTGCTCATAACTCCTCTCCAGTTCTGCCTCTCACGATTCTACTGTTTTCAAATTCTGCAAGAAAATACTGAAACAGAGCCTAGTCTTAATATTCTTTCATGGCAGCTCATGTTTTT